GAAATGGGTTGCCAATTGTTGGGCAAACGTTAAGACTTGTATTTATAAACGAAATTGATGTCTATTTTATGTTAGAAATGGGTTGCCAATTGTTGTGCAAACGTTAGGATTTGTATTTATAAAGAAAACAGAGATCTATTTTATGTTAGAAATTGGTTGCCAATTGTTTGGAATCTCAAGTGTTTTCTTGATATTTATCAAATGTGTTAATTATTTGATAATATTCACATATTTGGTACATGTGATTTTATAAATCTTGTGAAATGCCTACAAGTCCGTTCTTGATATTCTATAGGCCCTAGGTAGAGTTAGGATGTCAATGTTTTATCAAAGTAAACCAATCAACATATGTATCGACCATACCAGTTAAGTTAATATCAGTTACAATCGGTTGGTACACGGTATTGGAGGTTGTGTTGTGTATCATGTCTAACACTATAATACCAACTTATTTAAAAATTTATTAAACATTCGTCTCACAAATAAGTGATGGAAACAATTCTCCCATGGTTAAATCTTTACTTCCTCTAAAGTGTAGTGTAACTATACCAAATCAAACAAACCCACTATCTCAAATTTCCTCAATCTTGTAACCTTATAACAAAACCTAGTGGTTAACCTACTTTCTAACTGATTATATCAGCTATAATTACTTATGGTTTTTTAGTTAACACCTGATTATAATCGGGGTTACATTTTCATTTTCCAGGCACTATAATCAGTTATGATAGTAATCGGTTAATTGATTTGCTCGTCTCATTTTCCCATATGTGTTAGCCATGCCTATCTAGATTAAAACCACTTTCAGATTATCCATCTACGTAGTCTGAATCTCACTAAATACGTCTAAGTGGTCTGCTCTGCTCTGCTCTGCAGCCGATTGTAAGTGTTTATGTTTCTTCTATTAGATAGTTATAACTCCCCGTATGGATTAAATAGTTACAACTATACTGTAGTCGAGAAATAAGCCAATTAAGAAGTTGTATATGCAATTAAGTGAAACACCTACGTCTACAAGAACTAGTCTAACAACCAACCAATCCGATATAACCAATGATAAAGTTACAAAAGATACATGGACCTATAACTTCTTAATAATAATAATAATAGAACTCATTTTTGTCTAAAATTGTCACATACTTGGGGTTTGTTTACCACAGATAAGTGTTTATCCCGGTGTCACTTACCTTACCGGATGAACATGACAATGACTGCCCGTTAAAGGAGATAAACCGCTCACCGGATAAAAGACGTTTACCAACAATCCATTTTGATGACCAAAAACATTACATGATAAGGTAAGTAAGGTGATGACTGTTACCATTAAGCATTACCCGGTAAACAGCCCCTAATATCTCATTATGAGCTCCCTTCATCTCTTGTCCGTATGAGCATGTTGTACTTTTTCCATAAGCCAACTGGTAAAAGAATCATCATATGCCACGGAGAGACACCGTTGCACCCTACCCTACAATATGTTCGTCAATGCTGAGGGCATCCCAGAAGAAAATTATTGGACAGTTCAGGATTTCTACGATCCTTTTCAAGACCCAACGTCCAGCCTACATGGTCTGAAACAATTACAAGATTCTCTAGAACAAATACGCACTTAATGGAAAAGATTCTATAAATGTCTCAAAAGGTATGAAATATCTCATGGGTATCATATTCATGGAATATGATTCCCTCTTCAAGATGCCTAAAAATTGTGAGACCTGGAAATTCTCGATCAACCCTTGGGAGGGAGGGAATCAGATTCTCATGATATAACCCCAACCCATAACACACATTCCCAATTACTTCTTAAACAGGGTTTAGAAGTTCAAGATTAAGATCCAACCTAATGTCTAGTATTGTCTACAATCACCTTGACCGAGACTCAACTTGGTTCAGCTGATGTAGAAATATTACCCTACTGATTAAAATCTTGCAAACTCAAACCTAAAGCTATAGGACACGACTGATGACACGATTCTAGCTTAATAATTTTGGTCGGCTTTGCCAAAAAAAAACCATCTAGAAGTCCAAATTATCTTAGCCATCACATAAACCATTAGCTTCAGAGACTTGGATCTTTATGATTACTTACAGTAAAAATATAACTATTATCCAAGTAACTGACTAGATCAAAACATGCATTTGTTGCTAGCAACTGTCTTGAGTGAGGCCAAACGCATGTTTCCAGCCACAAAGCGCAACAAGCACTAGCATCACATAGAACATGAAGATTAGCATGTATCAAACATAAGAACCACCAAACGAACCCAGAATATCCCACCAAGAGATGGTGTCTGGGGAGGGTGAGATGTACACAAACCTAAACTCTAGAGTAGAGCAGCTGTTTTAACAAAGACACCAAACATAAGAACAACCTTAACTCCATAAAACCTCTAGACAAAAATCATGGTCCATAGAAGCCATATTGATCCTTTACTTGCTACAGCTCAAGATAGCAACAATAGTAGTCAAAATTATAATATTCATGATCCAAAATATACAGGAAAGAATGCAAAGTGTGGACAAATCATAATCCTGCCAGAATCACCATTTATAGTCAAATGACCCTTTGCACTTCAGAATCAATCATGTTACACAATTCTACAGAACTTATCCTAGATTGCCTACCTTTGCCTATTTTGTCTCTTGTAGATATGTATGCTACTTTGATGATCCAAATCTTTTTGTAACCACCGGTAGACATGTTGCGTCTTATTCAGTGAAGTCACAATGAACTACTAACTGGAGAAAACCTTGCCCCAGAGTCCCAAACTAATATAAGCATACTCAATTGATAGATTAGAGTGTTCTATAAATCCCCGGTTAGGCCACTTAGATTTGACCGCCTAGGCCTAAGCATCCCCCACAGCTTTGATTAGTTAGGCCGCTTAATCAGCCAGATGTGAGTTAAATGCTCACTGCTGTTTCAGGTGGCAAGTTAATAGTTGCACTAGGGATTTCATGAAGTTAAGTAGGAACTAATGGGCTTTTCTAAATTTGTCAATTACTCGAGTTTCCTCAAAAGGAACTGTTGGAACTCTTTCCAAGCAACTATATCAATAAAACTAGAAACTTAGAACAAATAGTTGTAATTTTACAATTTTATTTTAACCGAGTCTGTTAATGTTTACGAATTTGTGAAAATGTGAGTGATGTGATTAGCTAGATCTATAAAAAAGTAATATCTAAAGTAAAAAAATGTAAAAACACAAAAGATAAAAAATAAAAAAATTCGGAGAAGAATCACGACTCAAGACGCCATGGCATGAGTCACGCCTTACAAGAAGGCTATAGGCCATTTCGTAACGGCGGAGTCGTGTATTGCACGAGGAGCCTTTTTGAACACTGGATTAGACGTAATTAGCATTTTATATACATTCACTAAACTTTCCATAATGCAGAGATGCTGTACCGCACAATAAAAATGAACAAATAATAGGTTCAACATATAAATTCCACAATTTGAAATCGGGTCCAATTGAACACTGCACACTGTACTTGACTCAAGAATTTTCTCATCCATACAAAGATTGCTTTGAAAAGCAAACCACCAATTATTGAATTTGTAATCAATACCATCAATATCGTAAACCATCAATGCATAAATCCCCTTAGTTCAAAAGCTTACACATGAAAGATCGTTATACTTCGTAAATATTAAAGCAAATCACATTCAAAGAGCTCATGTTGTACAAACCCTAATCTTTACCTCTTCTTGGAACTTGATTAATCTCTTTTGTTGATAAACCAAATCGAACCAAACATCTCGGTTCAAAGACTGAACAAATTCGAAATTCAAACAATTACAAAACTATGATTGCAAAAAAAAATCTTAGGAAATCGAGTGAGAAAAGAGTGAAATTGATTACAAACCTTAGATTTTGTCGATGTCTTCATCTTCGAACTCAATATAATCATCACCTGCGTTATCATCCTCCTCATCGAGTCCACCAGCGATACCTTCATTAAGCCTAATATTCTCCGGCAACTCCCCGTAAGCCTTCAACAGCCTAGCTTCATCAGGCATGTACTTGAGGATGACGTCAGCCTTGTCATCCTGGTAATCACGTAGACCGACTAGGATGATGTCACCGGCGGCGATCCAGACCTTCTTGTGCATCTTACCACGGATATGGCTGAGACGCTTGGTGCCGTCGATGCACATGGCTTCACAACGGCCGTTGCCGAGCATACGGAGCACCTGAGCATACTCTTGACCATCTTCCTTGAACACCAACTCTCGCTTCTCATCATCGGCTTCGTTCTTACCCCTTTTACGGTTCTTTCCTCCCTTTCCCTTGTTCTTCGGCATAGCTTTGAAGATCTACCGAGATGGAGAAACCCTAGCTTTTGATCTTGTTTATCTCTGTTTGTGCGTAAATTCTCCCCACTCGATGACTTATATATCGAGACTAGGCTTATTTTACGGTTACCCCCTTTACTATAAAACAATGACAACTTTTCACCCCTATATTTGAAGCGCTTGCTTGTGTTTGGACTCGAAAGATAGGGGTAAAAAAAAAAATTATTAACCCGGATATCCAATCCGTTATTCGAGTCGATTAATTTCAGAACGACCACCTGTTTTTCAGATAGTCCGGAGTCATCGCATTTGAACTTCTGTGATCACAAGGGGATTTTTATTCCTCCTTGGATTTGAACTTGGGACCTCCTGGTACTTTTAACCTTTTGAGCGAAGCTCAAACCAATCAGGCACCACCCTTGTGGTTAGATCAAGTGTAATTCTGACCTAAATAAATAGATTTGGTTGTTTGACAGATGTCAGCATGCCTTTTAAAAATGACAGGTGTCAGCATATCCTGTAGTTGGTTGTTATTTTTTTGTTATTACTTTTCTATTATATTATGCTTTGTACGAGCTTGGGTTTCATCGTGAATAGAATTATCTTCCTCCCTTACTCTTTATTTTTTCTTTAATCTTCTTTTGTTCTATGAATTCTCATGGAACATTCATTCTATGAACCACCTAATTTAGAGTTGTAATCATACATTGGGTAACCAACTTTGATTGAGTTAAGTTTTATCATTTTTTTATTAACTTGGATATCCAACCCGCTATGCGAGCCGACTAATCCCAAGACGACCACCTACTTTGTAGATAGCCTGGAGTCACCGCATTTGAACCTCTGTGGCCACAAGGGGACTTTTATTCCTCCTTATATTTGAACCTGGGACCTCCAGGTACTTTAGACCTTTGAAGCCAAGCTCAAACCAATCAAGCACCACCCTTGTGGTTGTTAAGTTTTATCATTGGTATCAGAACAATCGGTTTTGGGAAATCCAACCATTGCGATCACACGAAGTATGGGTAAAGTCGTCAATCAAAGACAAGAGCCTATCAATTCGCTAAAGCATCATCAAATATCGACCCACCTCCATCATCGCAAGAATGAGGAAGTGTTGTTGATCTGGAAACGATGATCAAAACATTTATAGAGGATTATGGTGCTCGAATCAAGAATAGTAATCAGCAACAAATTATGCGAGTGGCGGAGAATACTCGAGCGATTTCAGAAATTAGTGACCTCCTTTCGGGTTTGTCGCTACAAATCAATCAACTTGTGGCGGATCGTTTGAAGAAGGGTGATTCTGATAATTCGATGATTGATAGTCCTAAACCACATGTACAACAGACTGAGTTGAAATCAGCATCATCAAATCCTCAAGTGAAATTAGGGGATATGATTGGAAACCCCTTTCAATACTCATTATGATTGACAAAAATTGAATTTTTGTGCTTCGGAGAGGATGAATTGAAGGCGTGGCTATATAAGGTGAATAGTTTTTTCAACTGGATCAAGTAAGTGATGGTACAAAGGTTCCTTTAGCATCAATCTATGTGGAAGGTAGAGCATTACAATGGCATCAGGGATACATGAATGGTTGCAACCTGTTGGTCCCAAAGGGTCTACAAGAATACTAAACAGTTTGTAGAAGGGGGGGATGAATACAAACACAATTTTCAAATTTAAAATATATATTGATAAAGAAGATCAATACAGATTTTACAAGATTGTCTGC